GCATTTCGAAGGGCATCCCTTCTTCATCAGAGCTTCATTGATCGGTTTGTGCGCTTTTTGTTTGTTCTCGTTTCTCAGTATTGGTCGGGCTTCCCCAGCCTTGTTTGGAGCTGCACAACCCCATATGCACTGGTGGTAGAAACTTTCATGTCCTGGTTCGATCCATCTAACCCTGGTTGGGTCATAGAGTGCAAGAGAGTTCATTTCCTTCCTTATTGAACTGTGTGAAAGCAAATCGGCGGGAGTGCTGCCGCCGACTGCTTCATCTGACAGGTGAGCCCTGCTGCTTACCAGCAGCAGGGCTAAAGGCAAAAAAAAAAAAAAAACACCTGCCCGGTGCCCGGAACTGCATGTTCCAGGCATCGGGCGATAGGAATTGCACATCCCTGTATTAATATTTTGTATTTAAAGATTTTCTATTTATTTAATTTTTCTGTTGATTGAAGTAGATGGACTTGTGTATTTTTTCAGCTTGATGAACTGTGACGGTATCCAGTATTTCTTGGGCAAGGAACGTTGCAGGGTATCCATCGCTTCTAACTTAGTTAATTGGGTGAAATGCGTTTGCAAGTGCATTTTAGATGCTTTTAGTGATGTTTTAAACCACTAGCTGGTCTATTCTGACATTTCTCTCATACATGCAAAAATCTGCATTTTTTTTTGTACCCCCAATCAAATTTTTTTTTTTTTTTTTTTTTTTACGAAGAGGCTCTGTAGAATAACATTTTTTTGCAATTTCATCACAAGATATTTACACAGCCATTTTAAAGCAAACTTTAATCAATTTTAGTGCACACAAACACATTAGAATAATGAATTTTATGTTAAAATATAAAAGATGATGATGCAATGAGTAAATGGAACCTAATGTGTCAAATGTGGCAATAAACTACGATACATTAAATTGTGACACTTTATAAGCTTTTATAGGCTGCCAGTTTTAATATACACAAAAGGTAAATTATTGCTCTCAAACAGATGTTCATGATGATACCTCACATGAGTGGTGCAATCACTGTTTACATATGCATATGGGACCTACGTATTTATTCGCATTTGCGCATGAGCACAGGGTGGTAGTGGGTGGCAGAGGATGATGGGGATGGTCGGGGCACTTTAAAATGTTTTGTTTTTTTTTGTTTTTTTTTTTTTTTACACAATCCCTTTTATCCTTTTTTTTTTTTTTGTCAACTTTAATGCTATCACAAGGGATGTTTATGGAGAGATCTGAAGTCTTTCCTTTGCCCTTCAAAGCAGCGGATCAAACAAAGATTGGTTTGATTGGCTGCTTTACTAGCTACAAACTGTTTACACAGCTGTGACAACTAGTAAACAAAAGACCAGAACCAGAAGTGACAATATCCCAATGCTTCCAGTTTCATACACCATAGAGATGATGAGAGAAAGCAAGTTCCTCCATTCCACTGTCTCTATGGTCAGCTGGTGTGACTACCAATAGCAGCATGGGGCTCCCAGTGAGACGGGAGAGCCTGTAAACAGTGGCACACAGAGGCAGGAGGAGGGGAACCCCCTTCAACCCCTTGTAAAAGTGATTGAGCAGCTGTTTAGCCACTCCAATCACTTTTACTAAAAAGTCCATTGCCAGATATAAACAATTGTATCTGGATGGTGACTGTAGCTGCAGCCATCATCCAGGTATTACCACCACTTCCTAAGGACACACATATGCATACATTGTTAGGGAAGTGGTTAATAAAGATGTCTGCACAATGAGCCTTCATCTCCCCTCTTTGCTGTATGTTGGACAGAAGTTATGTTAGAGGAAAGTAATGGATATTGATCTTCTTGGGGCCACCTATATGGCTGAAGAAGTATATTTACCATTGCTTTGATTAACCATCATGTTAATTTATTCAAAAATATGAGGTGAGTCAACTACCGTCTAGGTGCCCATAGGAAAGTAGCAAGATTGTTTGAAGGAACTGGAGCTTAGACTATTCACTTTACAGTAAATTGGCACATCTGCAATGGGCCGGTTTATTCATCAAAATATTTGTCAATACTTTACATAACAAAATAATACATACACTGTATACATTTTTAAAGGACAAACAAGACTTTGTATTTTGTTTTTCGCAATCCTTAGAAGAAAAAAATTAACAAAAAAAAAAAACACTTTTTGTTTCTGACTAATGTTAATTTAAAAAAATAGTGTAGATTTTATTCTATAATTTGTCCTTTTTAAAATGAAACTAAAAATTATGATTCTGGTATAAAACAATGCAAAGGTATTTACAAATGAAATAATGTTTATTTATTTTGCGCTTTCTTAAATGTGACACTAAATAAATTAACAAGCAATGCAAAAAACGAAAGGAAAAGTTTAAATAATGATTATTAAAACAGATAAAAAAAAGCAGGAAAACATAGATTTTGCTAAACACACTACTACAGTACCCCACAAATGCTTATTGTACAAATTAAGGTCTTTTGACATTGATGAAATTGTATGTACATGGACTGAAAACTGGTCACAAGAGCATGTCTCGAAGGTGTTGATAAACGTCTTTTTATGAACGAATCTAGTGTTTTAAGTGGGGTACCCAAGGGACTGTTCTGGGAACAATTCTGTTTTAGCTTGTTTAGAAATGATATAGAGGTGGGAATAAATAGTTCAATCTCAGGGTTTGCTGATGATATTAAAGCTAAACACGGCAATACCTTCACAATACGATATAGCAACTTTACCAAAACATCTAGTTAAATTAGAGGGGTGGGTGGCTATATGTCAGATGTGGTTTAATATTGAAAAATTTAAAGTAATGCAATTGGGAGCTAAAATATGAACGCAAGTAACTTGCTGGGGGGAACCAAGGATGGGAAAGGATCTGGGAGTCCAAAGAGATCACAGACTCTGTAAAAGCATTCAATGCGAAGCTACAGCAAGCAAGGCTAGCAGGCTATTATCATGCATTAAAAAGGGTATACAGTATACTCAGGAGATAAAACTAATTCTAACACTTTTCACTTTACATCAAGAGGAGAAATAATCGCAATATACAAATCTTTGAATGGTGAAACATTAGGATGAAACTATTTGATCTAAGGTCTCAAAAGACACGTGGCCACACAATGAAGTTGGAAGGGAGGCGGTTCAATCCTAAACTGCGTAAGGGGTTCTTCGGTGTTAGAGCAGTAAGGATGTGACACTCTCTTCCACAGTTGATGGTGTCAGTGGGCAGGGTAGATAAATTCTAAAAACTTTTAGATGTGTTTCTTAGTGAATGCAATGTACAGAGAAATGTAAAATGACACACACACAGGTTGAAATGGGTGAACTAGTGTCTTTATTCCACCTTACCAACTATAACTATGCAAGGGAGTTGGGAAGACAGTTAAAGTGTCGCTAAACCCACAACAGTAAAATCAGTCTGTATATGTAGTAAAGCATGCTTGTTATACTCACTGTGGAACCTAAGGGGTTAATCCTCCGTATTGTGTTAAAAGGCTGTTTGATCCTATCTTCTCTGATCGCCCCCTTGTTCTACTGTCCCCAATCCATCTGCTGATAGTACAGAGCTCTAACTCTGCTCATGCTCAGTTTAGTGTGTACTGCTAAAGAGTTTTTTTCATTTTAAGGGTGCATGTGATCAGCACAGCGCCAATCAGCACTGTCCAAACAGAGGGTCAGGGGTTATGCAGCCTCATGGAACAGTCAGAAGAGAATGAAATTTCCTCCTACAAGCTTTATCCAGTGCTCAGCTGGACACTGGTAAAAGTCACAAGACTGCTATATACTGCTGATGAGAAAAAGTATTTAGAAGTTTATATTTACTAAAATAATTGTATTTCCATGTTCTGTGTACTGTGGGAGACCAAATATAGTGAATGTAGGGTCCTAGGTTTAGTAACACTTTAATTAGGGATGATTAGGGTAAAACAAGAGTTAGTAGGGGTTATTTTTTTATTGTCAGGATGCTTTAACAGACATCAACGGCATATACTTTGTATCTCTCTATTTCATGTCTTAACAGTGCTGATTAACACTGAGTCAGACATATTTTTTTCAACAGCAGCAGCTGCCAGCTTCATTTTCAGAGCCAAAACGTGTGTGGGTGTGTTTTGGGGGGAGGGGGTGGGTGTGGGGTAACGCAGCAGAGGGGCAGAAAGACTGGATGTGCTATAGATATCCTGTGTACTTTGATGATGATGTTTTTTTGGGCGTGTATAGAACGTCTATTGTTTAGTGTATGTGTCAGGGATCGCGGCGTCCTGTCGGCCGGCGCATGCGCGCTGGCAATGGCTCACGCCGGGATACAAGCACTAGGTCCCGGCGAGCCGCGGATGACAGGACGCCACGCATGCGCAGTGGGAGCCGGGGGCGCGCCTCGGGCGGCCAATGACAGCCCGGGGGCGCGTCCTGGGCGGCCAATGACAGTGCAGGGCGCGATATTTAAAGATGCCCTGCACTGTCACTGATTGCCGCAAGGTCTTCTGAGTTCCTGCATCCTGTACCTGTGTTTTTGATCCCGATTGACCCTGACTACTCTACTCTCTCCTGCATTTTGACCCGGATTGTCCTGACTACTCTACTCTCTCCCATCCTGACCCCCGGCTTGTTTAACCTATCTACGGACTGACTTCTCCTGCTGACCCTGCGAGTGACCTGACGATTCTCCGCCTGCCGATTCTGTACCACGCCTCTCCCACGGGACCACTGCTCGCAATCTATCCTGCTGGGCCCTGCCGTCCTCCTCACATCTGGCTCTACCGGTACCAATACATCCCCAGAGGTTCCCCCTGCCACTGGTGGGCCTGCTCAGAGGTCGTGACCTGGTCCTGGTCTGTTTCAAGTCCATCCCCACCATCAGGGGCCCTGGTGAAAGCACAGACCGGGACTTAGACTCCACGTTTTGGGTAGGTCTGTCAAGTGGGCAGCCAGCAGCACCATCTGGCGGATCTTAACAGTATGTAAAGTCACAGTGTAGTGTAAAACTATAAAAAACAAACAAAATAGAAGTAAAAACAATAACAAATACCTTTTGATATGATCTATTTGAGTCAAAACTGCATTGACTACACGAATGGCATCAGAAGGTTCAGTACCTGCCCTAGAGGCGTTACGTGCAGCTGTTAGGCTTTCAACCTGAAGTGAAAATACACAGATTAGTTGTCAGTAACACAAGCAGGTTATAAACAAATCTTGTTAAACATTTACAATACTTTTGTGCTTTAATACATTTCTAAAGTTTTCCTGTCAAGACTCTATTATCAGGTGACTGGGTAATTTTTTTTTCTTTTTTACAGGAGTCGCCAAGGACTGTATTTGTAACATTTCACACACAATGAACAGTTGCTAAAATTAAAAAAAAAAAAAAAAAAAAAACTATAATACACACACACACTGCCAAAAGTATTGGAACACCCCTACACATCATTGCATTCAGGTGTTCCAATCACCTCCATGACCACAGGTGTATAAAATCAAGAACCTAGACATGTAGACTGCTTCTACAAACATTTATGAAAGAATGGGTCATTCTCAGAAGCTCACTTTGCTGATGATACTGTCGTGCTAAATTCATTATTTTTTCTATGTAATCCATTGACAAAAAGAAGTACCAAAGCTGAAAACATGTCCATCCAGTTCAACCCAAAAAAAAAGAAAAAGTTATAATCCTATAACCACAATTGATCCAGTGGAAAGCAAAAAAACCCAACAAAGCAGGATCTAATTTCCTCCTGCTGGGGAAAACAAAATCCTTCCTGATTCCCCGAGAGGCATTTGGATATTCCTTGGATCAACTTTACCTATAAATGTTATATCCAGTTATATTCTGTGTATCTAAGAAAGAATCCAGGCTTTTTCTAAAGCAATCCACTGAGCTGGCCAGAACCAACTCTTGATGGAGTCTATTCCACATTTTCACAGCTCTTACTATGAAGAAACCTCTCCGTATTTGGAGATTAAATCTCTTTTCCTCCAGATGTAAAGAGTGCCCCCTTGTCCTCTGTGATGACCTCAGGGTGAATAGCTCTACACCGAGTTCACTATATGAACCACTGATGTATTTATACATGTTGATCATATCCCCCCTTAATCTCCTCTTCTCAAGAGAGAATAAATTCAGTTCCTCTAATCTTTCCTCATAGCTGAGCTCCTCCATGCCTCTTATCAGTTTGGTTGCCCTTCTCTGTACTTTCTCCAGTTCCCCAATGTTCTTTTTGTGAATTGGTGCCCAAAACTGAACTGCATATTCCAGATGAGGTATTATTAATGATTAGTATCGGGGTAATATGATATCTCTCTCTCTGAAGTCTATACCTCTTTTAATACACAGGTAGGATTTTGCTCGCTTTAGAAACTGCAGCTTGGCATTGCATGCTATTATTAAGCTTGTGATCTACAAGAACTCCCAGATCCTTCTCCACCATTGATTCCCCTAGTTGTACCCCCCCCCAGTATGTATGATGTATGCATATTCTTAGCCCCCAAGTGCATAACCTTACATTTATCAACATTAACCACTTCCTGTCCGGACACTTTCCCCCCTCCTGTCCAGGGCAATTTTCAGCTTTCAGCGCTATCACACTTTGAATGACAATTGCGCAGTCATGCAATACTGTACCCAAATGAATTTTTTACCATTTTTTTGAGACAGATAAAGCTTTATTTTGGTGGTATTTATTTACCGCTGGGATTTTTATTTTTTTTGCTATGTAAATGAAAAAGTCCAAAAATGTTGAAAAAAAGTGTTTTTTGCAAATAAAAATGCAAATAAATAATCTTTCATCATAAATCTTGACCAAAATGTTTCCATTATATTTTTAGTAAAAACAAAATAAGCCAAATTAGTTTATAACCAAAAATTATAATTTTTAAAAATTTTCTTTACATTTTTATATTAATATTTATGGTTTTTCTTTTGTTTTGTTTTTTTACATACTGTCACCCTAGCAGTACAGTGTCACCATGGTGAAACTGTACTACTTTTGGGGGGTGATGAAGATTTTTTTTTTTACAGTGATTGCTTTTACACCCATATAGGATATAAAAGCAATCATTTCTCTTTCTCTCTGTCTGCATTCTTGCAGCCATTGAGGAAATACTGAGTGAGCTGTGATTGGTCACCCCTTGTCACATGGTACAAGGCTGTTGTGAATAGCCTTGTACCATGTGACCTCTGTAATCATTCACAGATTTCACACGTAGTAAGCAATGATGTCACAAGTGACATCTTGCTTACTACTTTGCATGTGATCACTGATTGGCCTTTATGGAGTCACAAAAGGTGAGGAGTACAAAGAAAAATGCATGGTGCTTACAGTGAAGCATGGCGGTGGCAGTGTACTTCTGTGGGGCTACATGAGTGCTGCTGGTGTCAGGGAGCTGCATTGCATTGATAGTATCATGAATTCACAGATGTACTGCTCTATATTGAAAGAGAAGATGCTACCATCACTCCGTGCCCTTGGTCGTCGTGCACTTTTCCAACATGACAATCCAATCCAAAACACACATCTAAGGCACATCTAAGGCCACTGTTGCATTTCTGAAGCGGAGCATGGTGGAAGTGATTCAGTGATCAAGTATGTCTCCTGATCTGAACCCAATCGAACATCTATGGAGGATTCTGAAGAGACAAGTTGAGCATCACTCTCCATCCAGCATCCAGGCTCTAAAAGAGGTCGTTCTTGAAGAATGGAAAAAGATAGATATTGCAATGTGTCGGTAACTTGTTAACTCCATGCCTAGAAGACTTGGTGCTGCCCTTACAAATCATGGAGGTCATACAAAATTCTACAGTAGAAAAAATACTAGATGTAGTAATTTTTGTTGTGGGGTGTATTCATTTTTGCATCAACTAATTTGAGTAAAACTGAAGATTTTGAAATTTAAGTTATATTATTAACCTTACTTTCATGTAATGAGCTAAAAAAAATGTTCTATAAAATATATGTTTGGATGTCAATTACTCTAGGTACCTCACACACTTTAATCTTTTGTGGATGTACTATGAGTTGTAGATATAAACATTTTAGGCAGGGCTACCCAAGACCTGAAAATTATTTCAAGTGTTTCAAGGGTTCTTCTGAAAGCAAAAAAGGATGAGAAAGGCTACTCTTCTTTCTGCAGAAGGATATTTTGAAAACATTACATGTATTATTATTTAACCACTTGAGCTCCAGAGGATTAACCCCCCTTAATGACCAGGCCTCTTTTTGCTACTCGGCGCTGCACTAATTCAACTGATAATTGCGCGGTCATGCGATGCTGCACCCAAACGAAATTTATGACCTTTTTTTCACACAAATAGAGCTTTCTTTCGGTGTAATTTGATCACCTGTGCACTTTTTATTTTTCACGCTATAAACAAAAAAAGGCCAAAAATTTTGAAGAAAAACAATATTTTTTATTTTCAGCTATAAAAAATATATAGTAAACTCAAAGTTGGTTATAAATTTAGGCCAAAATGTATTCTGCTCCATGTTTTTGGTAAAAAAAAAATCCCAATAAGTGTATATTGATTGCTTTGTGTGGAAGTTATAGCGTCTACAAACTATGGTATAGATACTGCAATTTACGCCATTTTTCTGCTATACAGCGCTGCGATAGTTTAACGGACAATTGCGCGGTCATGCAATATGGTACATAAATGAAATTTACATCCTTTTTTTCCCCACAAATTGAGCTTTCTTTCGGTGGTATTTGATCGCCTGTGCAGTTTTTATTTTTTGCGCTATAAAAAAAAAGTCTGACAATTTTGAGGAAGAAAAACAATATTTTGGACTTTTTGCTATAAAACATGTCCAGTAAAAAAAAATGCAAAAATCAAATTTAGTCATAAATTTCTGCCAAAATGCATTCTGCGACATGTCTTTGCTAAAAAAAAACCCAATACGTGTAATTTAATTGGTTTACGTGAAAGTTATAGCGTTTACAAATGGTGGGAAAGATACTGGGATTTTTAGGGTTTTTTTTTCTACTAATAATGGCGGCGATCAGCGAATTATGGCGGCGATCAGGGACTTATGGCAGCGACCAGCGACTTATGGCGGGACTGCGGCAGACATTCTGACATTGGGGGGTACTGACTTGGGGTCACTGACATCCCCAAAAACACTAATACAGTGATCAGTGCAAAAAAAAAAAAACTGACACTGTACTAATGGCAATGGGGAGGAAGGGGTTAACTTTATTTAGCAGGGAAAGGTTATAGGAGTGAGGGGAGTGTTTTACTAGGGGGCGGGGGTGTGTGTTTTACTAGGGGGCGGGGGCGGGACAAGGCTGATCGAGAAAGAGAAACTGTTCTTTCTCGATCAGCTCATCTTCGAGCTGACAGGGAAGTGACAGACAGCACAGCTACTGCAGCTGTGCTCTCTGTCACTGTTTGCTGCCGATCGCCGGGACATAGCCACTAAGGAGCGGCTGTGACCCGGCGACTGACATTTGCGGCGGTGATCCGCGGGACAAATAGGCCAGCGGCGCGCCTCGCGCGCCCCCTATTTGTTTACAAAACACACGTTTTAAAACGTGGTTTTGCCTGCGAGTGCCGCCCTGCCGCCGTATATGTACAGTGGCTGGGCAGCATGCGGTTAATGTTTTATTCAAATACAAAACAGACATTTTTTACAGCACTAATTATGAATTACAATGACTTACCTCATCAATCAACACGAACACTAAAACATCTTTCTCAACTATCAGTTCATGAATCTTCTGAAACATCTTCGTTACCAGCTTGCCACTCTGAAAAATATAGGTACTTTACACAGTTGCAACTGCATGCAAAGTAACTGACTGATGCAATTATTCAGTAACTTTTAACAGAAAGGGTTTATTAAACACAAAAATGCAATACACATATCTGGTTAAGAATGAACAACAAATGAATAAACAATCAATCAATCCATACAGTACACTTGATGGGTACAACAGAAGAAAGGCACATGGGCATGAGTCATTTGAGACAGAAAAGTACAAGGATTGCATTTGCACAAACCAGAGTCACATTATAATCCGGACAAAATAGAAAAAAAAGCAACTATTCCCTCAAGTCACCAACCCAGGAGCCACAGCAGAACTCGGGGGGAAGTAAGGAGGGGGAGTGGGAAGAGGAGGGGGAATGGCTAGAAAAGGGTAAATTCATAGAGGGGAGGAGGGGAAAGGAAAGGGGGGGGGAGGGTTGACGTGCTACAGGAGGAGACTGGCAGTAGAGGTATCCAAAACTCATTCAGATTCTAAATCCCCTCCCCGGGAATCTTATCACATTTCCTAGGACAGTTGCAACTGCCATAGGTGAGTTTATATAGGGGTAACACCATATTAATACTTGCACATCAAAATTCAAAAGTCGGAGGCATAGGGCATTTTTATTTAGGGAGAACTTCCCTCCGGGCAAAAAAGGAAGCAAAAAATACAAACAATTTGACACAGCTCTTTCCAACACTGCCAAAAGCAACACTTTAGGATCTAGGGGCAAGGTTAAATCATAAGTATCATTAATGACATTCAAGACAGAAGTCCAAAGATCCCTGAGATTAGGGCAGGTCCAGACCATATGGTAGACGTTACCGTCAGCCTACTGACAAAGGGTATATAGAGGACTGACTGAGGTGTATATACCGGCCAAGCAAACAGGAGTATAGTAAGCTCTGTGGAGAAATTTAACCTGAATATACCTATCTTTGGCTGAGACCCTATTAGTGACACAATGAGTGGTACACACATCCCAGTCTTCCTCAGTTAAATCCAGTAAATCTGCATGCCATTTGGTGAACAGCTTAGTCTCACTGAGTGAGCTGCAGAGAGGTGAAGGTAGATTGAGGACAGAGGCTTTCCCATGGTCCTAGAGGTCAAGAGACGCTCCAGGGGATCAGACTCAAGAGTAACATCAGCTGGAAATTGCGTATGCACCGCATGTGTAAGTTGCAGATAGTGGAAGAACATACGATTAGGCGGGTCAAGTTCAGCTTGCAGGTCTGCAAAGCTGCGCAGCTTGCCATTAGACATGATATGTTTGAGTCCCACTATCCCTCGGGTAGTCCACAGGTGGAGATTGGGCAACACTGCCAGGTGGGGCAGGGTAGGATTAGCCCACAGTGGAATATGAGGGGAAAATCTAGAAGGTTGGCGATACCATGATAGTGGTTCTCATCAGACAAGTAAGTGCAGAAGGGGCCCGCAGGCCTGTTTTAGTAACATTAAAGTGATAAAAACTTTGACAAAGAATGCTAAAACAAATAAATATCAAATGTTTAACCTCTCTTTTACAAAAGGGGTAACATTTTTTCACAAACTGGATTGTGAAAAAGATGTTTGCTTAAAGGGCCTAGTAATTCATTTCTTTAAAAATAAAATGTTAACTTACTACCCAATTTACCATAAGTATAAAATTTTTTTAGTAAATGTAAAATCTTCACAAGGTAACCTCAAGGGAAAAAAAAAAAAAACGGGATGCTCAGTGGTGGGAAGAAATTTAGAGAAAAAAATTATAATATAAGTAGCCAATTGGATCTTAATCCAAAAAGCCAAATAGTAAAAAGTCCCCTTGAAGGGGCAATAGTGTGTTCTCCTGTATATAAAAAACAACCTATATGAACAAGTGCAATTAGTGCCTCTTCTTTACTTTTTTTTTTTTTTTTTTTTTTAACTAAACAAGCACCAAACAGAAAACATCTAAATGTTACCTTGTGTAGGATAAAAACAGTATTCATGCATTTCAGCTTGTTATCAAAGGCTTTTGTAAAGCCAATGTAAGGCTACAACAAGCAAGTAAAGTTTTGATACACATGCACAATAAACAATTTTTAACAATTTTTGTCATTCAGTGAGCACATACAGAGGAAAAGAAATGAGGTGAGAGATGAAAAACAGGAAATAAAATTGACAGAAAGAAGGTAAAGCTAGGGAAGAAGAGATTTTTTTTCTTTAGAGACAGTGAATATGTAAGGAAGATAGGAGAAAGAGAAAAGAAAGACAATAAAGAGGAAAGAGAATAGTAGTAGCAAACCTACAGTATCTAAAGGTGTCTAAACCCTGACCAATTTTGCATGTGGCATTTAGGATCACTTTTTTTTTCCCTGGAAAAAATGTGTTTGCTAAATTTGTTAGTGTTCCAGTAACAGAAGATCAAGTCAGATTTGTGTGGACAGGAATTTGTACGCAGCCATTTTCACAGGTTTGCATTTACAAATACTCTGAATGGTGTCACACAAATATGCTTTCAGAGTATCCAACTTATTTTTGGTATCTGCAGATTAATGAATTATTGATTTATATTTTTAAGTGGTATATGATTAATATGTTTAAGTGAAATATGATCCAGCATCCCCCCCACACGGCTCTGCAGATCACTTTTCAATAGTGATCTTTTATTAAGTCTTGGTTTTCACTATGCTACAGAGCCAGGATCACAAACCAGGAGCAATTCAGCTTAGTACTGCACAAGCAACAGTTGGTGATTCCAACAATGATACCCACTGGGACCCACCACAGCCACTAACATTGGGTAGCAATTCAAAACAAGGGCAATTCCAGATCCATGTTAAAATGGCACCTGGGAGTTAAGTGTGACATTATATGAACCAACTACCTTTTGTGGAAAAAATATACCAAATTAAAAATAATATATCATATAAAATTCCTATGCAAGCATGTTTTAATTTCATATTATTTGAAATTCTTTTTACTCTTAAGCCACTGTATTTTTTTTTGTAAAATTCAATGCAGTGTGGCAATCCAGAGGTGTTCTCTGCACCGTTGGCGTACAAAATGCCCTCAAATGTAATTTTCTGTTTGCGTATTGGTTCATTGTTTTTACCAGCAGAGCTTGGTACATATCCAAATAGAATCATTTCTAATGAACCTCTTAAAACATAATGGAGTAGATTTACTAAAACTGGTGCACTCAGAATCTGGAGCTGCTGTGCATGGTAACCAATCAGCTTCTAACTTCAGCACTGAGCACCTTAATCCCATAGCGATCCCCAGTGAATGTCCCAGCGCCTGGAAGAGGCTGAACTACCTTTACTGGCTACTCCAATCCTGTCTCTAGAGGCAGGCCATCAACCCCCAGGCTATATCCTGGACTACCCTTAGAAGGGACCCGTGGCTGATTGACAAGATTTGATACAACGCGCTTTTTATTAGCGCATCTGGTGAGTGCGCATTTTTATACATTTATCGGCACATGCACCTGAGGATTATATGCACACTGGGACCTAACTGAGTCATCTGGAGATCTGTATTTTAATTTTTATGGACATTTCGAGATTATTACGCATTTATACTTATACGTTTATTATGCATATTACTATTTGACTCTATACATTATTTATGCATTAGTAAGTCCAAGACGCATCTATAACTATTGTGTGAGTTTTTTAAGATTATAACGCACCCATCATCGATGTGCGTTTATACTATTCCTTTACATATTGCACTTTTATTTTGGATTTGTTTCTTTTTAGACTGTACTTAGCGCTGCACTACCTTTTTATTTGAGCTTGTTCAACTAAGCTTTGACAGTAAAATCTGGAAGCTGATTTTTTTCTATGCAGAGCTGCATCAGATTGTGCACCGTGCTGTTTTGTTCCTATTCTTACTGTACAACTAATAAAAAGGAAAGCAAGTCACTGGAGATTTAAATGCCTCCACACTGAACCAAAACAATAGCCTACTCCTGCAAAATAAGGCAAAGTGTATTAAATGACACAATGGGGAGAATATTTCTGAACGTGTGATGTGTGATCAGCCTTCCCCTGGAGAATTGGAGTCCCTTTGTGCCACCAAGTTAGTATAATTACATGTTTGCTCAAATAATTATAATGAATACCTCTGAAAACCACTTCGAGAAAAGGCTGTGGCTGTTAATCTCTATGAGTTGACCATATCTGTACCTAAAAAAAATAAGAATATAAATAACTAATCATTGGCTGTTATAAAAGGAATCTGACACGGAAACAGAATTTGCCAAAAACTGAACAAAATGTTTGTGCACCATAATTTTAGTTGCTGTTTGGTCAGTCAAGAAAACATATTCAGATACAGTTCAGGCAAATAGTCCTTTATGAAATAAAGTACACTTCAAAACATCAAATGTTACAACGCCAGAAAAATAAACAAAAAACAGTAATATATTACAAGAGATTGATTAAAAAAATAAACATTGCAAAACGGCAAATCTTTATATTAAAATTGAGTTACTACCTATATGAAAGTCTGATAGTCAGTTTTGTGCCAGTGCTTTACATAATGATGTTTTTCCTGTTCCAGGTGGGCCTACCATTAGAAAAAAATAAATAAACAAATAAATAAACAAATCACAAATTACAAAATGTCGCAAAGCTAAATATATTTCATTTTAATTATAGAATGCTTCAGCATATATCACATGACCCGTTACTGGTCTAATCTTGGTATTGTTTAGTGTGCTTTTTTAGTAGCAATTTCATTCATGTCTACTTGTAGCATGATGGATAAATATATTAATTTGAATGTTTGTTTTTAAAGTGGTTGTAAAGGCTCAAGGTTTTTTACCTTCATGCATTCTATAAACCTTCTGTGTGAAGCATCCCCTCCAGCCCCCTCAATACTTACCTGAGCCTCATCGCGATCCAGAGATGTCCTGGGTGTTTGCCTCCTCATTGGCTGAGACAGCAAGTGGTATTGACTGCTGTCAATCATAGCCAGTCAGCCAATGAGGAGAGAGAGGGGCAGGGCTAAGCCACGGCTCCATGTGTGAATGAACACATGGAGCAGCGGGTGCCCCCATAGCAAACGATAGGAGGAGGGCCAGGAGAGTCTGCGGGGGGACCCAAGAAGAGGGGGATCCAGGCTGCTCTGTGTAAAACCACTGCACACAGTAGGTAAGTATAGAATGTTTGTTATTTTCCAAAAAAAAAAGAAATGATCCTTTAGAATCACTTTAAAGTGAACCTGAAGATGAAAAGTATACCAATCGAAAAGCAAACCACAAATCTTCAAACTTTCTCAAAGCATCTTGGGAAACTCAGAGCCTATGTGCACACTTTTGAAAATGTTTGACTTTACTACAGCCTGCTCTTCTACTATCAAAGGGGCCTCTATTTACTAGCTGCTGAGGCTTTTTTTTTCAATAGACGGTCATGTTCTGTACATGGTTTCGTCCATGTCTTCCTGATGAGCCCCCATCAGCACTAGCATTTAGCCCCACCCCAAACAAGACATATGGCACAAAAAACCACAGTATTATCAGGAATTGGGCCTGATCTCTACTAGCACTAGTGGGTAAGTTTTATTAGTAGCGGTTCAAGCAGTTCCTGACAGCCAGGAGCTTTTTTTCCCCGTGAGTTGCACTATACATATAAATTTAGTGGCAAAAATGTCCAAAGAAAGGTACACTAGTGAAGAGGCCTACAGGATTCTGACCATGTCAGATGAGAACAAAGCCTCTCCAACAGAATCCACCTCAGAATACTAACCTGTAGAAAGCAGTTGCAGTCCAACGGATAGCTTAAATGATGAAGAAGAGGTCCCTGCAAAGATCAGGTGTACCCTACCCGATGTAGCCGAAGTGCTAGGAACATATGACTTGTCTCATATGCAGCAGGGTCCTAATACTAGTGCTGTACTAGGTTTTGGTGAACTGGAAGGCACCAGTGGCCTAGTACATCCTGGCATTTTACACACCAGCATTGCAGTATCACTTGGTGCCGTGGAGAGTCCCAAAAGTGCAGTCCAAGCTGGTGCGGTGGCTAGTAGCATCCTGCAGCTACCAAGAATTTGAACACAGGCCAAGAGCCCATAGTGATCCTCTGGATGTCCTTGCAAATCCAGATTGGCAGCCCACAGATTCTGTAGCACCCAGTATCCCCCCCATTCAATGTCCAACCCAGAATTCAGGTGGAAACAGCAAATTTACCAACTCCCCTTGATATTCTTGAGCTATTTTTCATGGAAAATTTGTATTAATTGATTGTGGGCCAAAGCAATTTATACGCACAACAATACATCGCCACACACTCAAATTCAGCTATTGCCAGACAATTTTCATGGAAACCCATCACAGTTTCCGAATTTAAAACATTTTTGGGCCTAACCCTCAACATCGGCATTACAAAAAATAATGAACTGGTCCACAGACCCGATTCATCATATGCCCATGTTCTCTGCTGCCAAGGCCAGGTATAGATATGAGATGATAATGTGGTTCATGCATTCAACGATAACACTCTCATGAAAAGAAAAAAAAAAAAAAAAGAACATTACTTATATGCCAAACAAACACCTGCAACATACTGGTGCATTGCTGGACTTTGAGTGGTTATACCAGGATGATGCCTGCAGTTCTGCCGGCTGACCATAGATCTGATCGGAGACTGGGATGGCTCTAATCATCAAATCATCAATCAACTGGAAGCAACTAGCATTTCATCACTTCGGTTTCACCAGAGATAAGTAGTGCCATTTTTACACAATCCTGGCATTTTAGGGACTCCCAAACTGTGATAGGTAGTGAGGAGTGACAAGAGGAAATATGCCCTTTGAAAGCCTTAAGGTGGTCATTGAATTTTGGGGGCCTGTTCATGGCTAGGCTGCCAAAAAGTCTCTCACATGTGGTATCCCCATACTCAGGAGAAGTAGCAGAATATGTCGGGTGTTATTTCTTCATATGTCCATGGCATGTGTGAGCAATATATCATTTAACAAAAGCTATAAAAAGTTATTTTAGTGGCAAAAATGAAACTCTTCCATGGACTCAACATGCCTCTCAGCAAATTTACTTTCCAAAAATAGGTCATTTGGGGGTTTTGTACTGCCCTGGCATTTTAGTATCTCAAAAAATGTGACAGGCAGTGAGAAATTAAAAGCTGTGCAAATTCATATACGTTACCAAAGACATGTAGCAGAATACATTTTGGCCTAAATTTAGGAGTAAATTTGATTTTATTGGACAGAAAGTAAAGAAAAATTATCGTTTTGTTTTTTTTTTTATTTTCAGTTTTCATTTGTTTATATTGCAAAAAATAAAAAAACCCAGTGAGGATCAAATACCACCAAAAGAAAGCTCTATTTGTGTGAAAAAAAGCATATAAATTTTGTTTGGGTACATCATATGACCACGCAATTAAACAGCAAAAAATGGACTGGTCATGAAGGGGGTAAAACCTTCCGGAACTGAAGTGGTTAAAAACTTTTCATTGTGCACCATTGCAATCTTCCAGCCATCAGTGTCCTAACAATTGATGACATCATCAGTTGATAAGGAGGACATTGGGCACCTGCACAATATCCGTTTGCCCCCTTTCCTGTGTCTTTCCATCAGCACTGGGGTCACATTGGCTCAATGAGGGAGAGAAATTGAGGGAGAAGAGAAACATTGGAGTACTAGTTATTACCAGTATGCAAAGGTATATTTGTTTTGGAAGACTAAATCACTTCCAACATTGAGTGTCCGACGTTTATAGATGCTGCTGCCTTATATTAACTAGTAGCCGACCGCAGATAGCCGAATGACGGCTGCACTGCGGCCGGCCAGTTCTGAGTGGACGTCATATGACGTCCCCCCAGAACGCGCTCTCCTGCGTGCCCCAGGGGGCGCGCACCCGGCGATCTCTGTGATCGCTGTGTCCTACGGACACAGCTGATCACGTGATGTGGTAAAAGGCCGATCACAGCGGCCTTTAACCACGTGATCAGCGGTGTCCAATGACACGCTGATCACAGGGAAATGCAAGTGCCGGTTCTCGGCTGCACTTTCCTCACGCTGTCAGATCGTGAGGAAAGTACTGCCGAGAACCGGCAGTTGTCACAGCGGGGATCGGCACTGATCATCAGGGCACTGATGATCAGTGCCCTGATGATCGGTGCCCAGCAGTGCCACCCGCAAGTTCCGCCCACCTGTGCCCAGCAGTGCGCCCACTAGCTCCGCCCAGCTGGGCCCAGCAGATCACCCACCTGTGCCCAGCAGATCACCCACCTGTGCCCAGCAGTGCACCCACCTGTGCCACTCTGCAGTGTCACACACCTGTGCCCAGAAGTGCCACCTACCTGTGCCCAGAAGTGCCACCCACCTGTGCCACCCACCAGTGCAGCCCAGCAGTGCAGCAGCAGTGCTGCCAGTCAGTGCAACCAGTCAGTGCCCAGGGGTTGTGCCAGTCAGTGCCCAGCAGTGATGCCAGTCAGTGCCGTCTATCAGTACCCATCATCAGTGTCACCTATCAGTGCTGCATATTAGTGCCGCCTATCCGTGACACCTCATTAGTGCTGTCTATCAGTGCCGCCTATCCGTGCCACCTCATTAGTACTGTCTATCAGTGCCCTTTAGTGCTGCCTATCAGTGCCCATCAGTGCCGCCTATCAGTGCCCATCAGTGCTGCCTCATCAACGCACATCAGTGAAGGAGAAAAAATACCTGTTTGAAAAATTTTATAATAGAAACAAAGAAACTTTTTTTTTTTTTTTTTTTTTTTTTTGCATTTTTTTTATTTATAGCGCAAAAAGTAAAGCGCCCAGTGGCGATTAAATACCACCAAAAGAAAGCTCTATTTGTGAGAAAAAAATGATCAAATTTTCATATGGGTACAATGTTGCATGACCGCGCAATTGTCAATCAAAGTGCGGCAGCGCTGAAAGCTGAAAATTGGCCTGGTAAATAAGGGGGTATAAGTGCCTGGTAGGCAAGTGGTTAAACTATTAGTTTAATTTTTTACATTTTGGAATGGGATGCATTAAGATTGTGCAGGATTTTAAAGGGTGCCTTGATTAAGAAATGTTTAAAAAAACACTGCTCTAGATCTGAGGGGAAGGTCTAAAATGAAGGGAAGCTCTGTTGATTTCTATCACCAATCATGTGCAAGCAAAAATGCATTTTTTCCCATTTTCCTTGCTTGTCATTGGGTATTCTTTACAAAGGGAAGCTTTACCTCATTTACTAAGCTCTGGAGCAAGTGCACTTGCAGCGCACAGTATACAGTGGATATAAAAAGTCTACACACCTGTTAAAATGTCAGGTTTCTGTGATGGAAAAAAAATGAGGCAAAGATAAAGCATTTCAGAACTTTTTCCACCTTTAATGTGACCTATAAGCTGTACAACTCAATTGAAAAACACACTGAAAGCTTTGGGGGGGGGGGGGGGGGGGGGGGGGGGGGGGATTAAACATAAAAAACTAAAATAATGTGGTTGCATAAGTGTGCACACCCTCTTATAACTGGGGATGTAGCTGTGTTCAGAATTAAGCAATCACATTCAAACTCATGTTATATAGGAGTCAGTACACACCTGCCATCATTAAAAGTGCCTCTGATTAACCCCAAATAAAGTTCAGCTGTTCTAGTTGGTCTTTACTGACATTTTCTTAATCATATCCTA